CAAATTAATATGTAAATCATGATTATTACCTGGATATTTACCATGAAACAAAACTGAAGAACACTTTTATCCAGGAAACATCTGTCAAACATGCCATTGTCCTTAAGATCAGTGAACAAAGAGATAAAGAATTCAATTGATTCTCTTCTTAGGATTCTCCACCAACTCTTTATTTGTTGATTGGCCATGCTTGCCCCATCCAAGTAGCTGTCTATGGCGTTTCCATCATCTCTGTTGAAAATCCCTGATGTGTACATTTTCTGTACCCCATCTCCTCTAGCTATTCTAGGGCAACCTCTGAGTCTCCCTACAGCTTCCATGTAGTCGCCTCCCACAATTTTTGGATTGCTACTTGTAGTGAATGCATTCAAGCAAATGATATTTCTAGAAAATTCATCAATGCACCCATTGTTACAAAGACCAAAGGGCTTTAGTTTGTCATAGAAATCAAAATGGCAAATGTAGTTTGGTCCTCTTGCAAAATAGGTACGACAATGAAGTCTCCGGGCTTTTCTGAGCTGAACTCCTCTTGGATCCAGGGCCTTTAGGATTAGCCAAATGTTTTCATTCTTCATATGCAAACCATTTTCTTGGCATGCAACCACCTGTAACCATGGAGCTGACCTGAACTGCGCAATTGTTGTTGAATAAACACAATAATGTTTTCTATGTTGCTGTAGTTCTTTCGATGAAATAAAGACTAAGACCCTTAGTCTTTAAAAAGCATTTAAAATGTCTCTCAGTGATAATATATCCATGACGACTGGGAAGAATAAGTGTTATGTCTTTATATTTAAGACCTAGCTGAAAATACATTTCAATAAACTCGCTAATATCCATTCAGCTAGAGCATAACTGCAAGATGGCACTCACACAAGTGTAATATAGTGCTCATCCGATAATATCTGGCGCTCACTTTCTGGTGCGCACCAAATAGTGTCTGGTGCTCACCACATAGTATCGGGTGCTCACCACATAGTATCGGGTGCTCACCAAATAGTATCAGGTGCTCACCACATAGTATCGGGTGCTCACCAAATAGTACCAGGTGTTCACTTGATAGTATTGGGTGCTCACTACATAGTATTGGGTGCTCACCTGAGAGTATTGGGTGCTCACCTGATAGTATCAGGTGTTCACTTGATAGTATCACGTGCTCGCCTGATAGTATTGGGTGCTCACCACATAATATTGGGTGCTCACTTGATAGCATTGGGTGCTCACCACATAGTATTGGGTGCTCACCTGAGAGTATTGGGAGCTCACCTGATAGTATCAGGTGTTCACTTGATAGCATTGGGTGCTCACCACATAGTATTGGGTGCTCACCTGAGAGTATTGGGAGCTCACCTGATAGTATCGGGTGCTCACCACATAGTATTGGGTGCTCACCTGATAGTATTGGGTGCTCACCACATAGTATCAGGTGCTCACCTGATAGTATCCGGTGCTCACCACAGTATGTGGTGCTCACCTGATAGTATTGGGTGCTCACCACATAGTATCAGGTGCTCACCTGATAGTATCAGGCGCTCGCCACATAGTATCGGGTGCTCACTTGATAGTATCTGGTGACCTCCCAATACTATCAGGTGACCACCCAATACTATCAGATGACCACCCAGTACTATCAGGTGCTCACTTGATAGTATTGAGTGCTCACCTGAAAGTATCAGGTGCTCACCACATAGTATCGGGTGCTCACCTGATAGTATCAAGTGCTCACCACATAGTATCAGGTGCTCACTTGGAAGTATTGGGTGCTCACCTAATAGTATTGGGTGCTCACTTAATAGTATCTGGTGCGCACCAGATTTTTACCTAAAAAAAAATAAAAAGCCATCATGTCCCTTTACCATACACCATGTCCCTTCAGGGGATCCGTAGTCTGTAGATTTACTTTTACAGAAATTTCAGGCACTCGTATATTTTCTCCCTTGCTTCTCTCATTGAGCTCTTTCTGTCCCTCTCTCTCTCTCTCTGACCTTATTAGGGTGATTACATGTGCTTCAGCTTAGTTTCGATTTCCAAGGATGCTGCTTAACATTTTCCATTTTGAAATGTCAGGCACTCACATATTTTCTCCCTTCTCTCATTGTGTGGGCTGTCTCTGTCCCTCTCTCTTTCGATGAAATAAAGACTAAGACCCTTAGTCTTTAAAAAGCATTTAAAATGTCTCTCAGTGATAATATATCCATGACGACTGGGAAGAATAAGTGTTATGTCTTTATATTTAAGACCTAGCTGAAAATACATTTCAATAAACTCGCTAATATCCATTCAGCTAGAGCATAACTGCAAGATGGCACTCACACAAGTGTAATATAGTGCTCATCCGATAATATCTGGCGCTCACTTTCTGGTGCGCACCAAATAGTGTCTGGTGCTCACCACATAGTATCGGGTGCTCACCAAATAGTATCAGGTGCTCACCACATAGTATCGGGTGCTCACCAAATAGTACCAGGTGTTCACTTGATAGTATTGGGTGCTCACTACATAGTATTGGGTGCTCACCTGAGAGTATTGGGTGCTCACCTGATAGTATCAGGTGTTCACTTGATAGTATCACGTGCTCGCCTGATAGTATTGGGTGCTCACCACATAATATTGGGTGCTCACTTGATAGCATTGGGTGCTCACCACATAGTATTGGGTGCTCACCTGAGAGTATTGGGAGCTCACCTGATAGTATCAGGTGTTCACTTGATAGCATTGGGTGCTCACCACATAGTATTGGGTGCTCACCTGAGAGTATTGGGAGCTCACCTGATAGTATCGGGTGCTCACCACATAGTATTGGGTGCTCACCTGAGAGTATTGGGTGCTCACCTGATAGTATCGGGTGCTCACCACAGTATGTGGTGCTCACCTGATAGTACTGGGTGCTCACCACATAGTATCAGGTGCTCACCTGATAGTATCCGGTGCTCACCACAGTATGTGGTGCTCACCTGATAGTATTGGGTGCTCACCACATAGTATCAGGTGCTCACCTGATAGTATCAGGCGCTCGCCACATAGTATCGGGTGCTCACTTGATAGTATCTGGTGACCTCCCAATACTATCAGGTGACCACCCAATACTATCAGATGACCACCCAGTACTATCAGGTGCTCACTTGATAGTATTGAGTGCTCACCTGAAAGTATCAGGTGCTCACCACATAGTATCGGGTGCTCACCTGAGAGTATTGGGTGCTCACCTGATAGTATCTGGTGACCACCCACATGTGCTCACCACATAGTATCGGGTGCTCACCTGATAGTATCAAGTGCTCACCACATAGTATCAGGTGCTCACTTGGAAGTATTGGGTGCTCACCTAATAGTATTGGGTGCTCACTTAATAGTATCTGGTGCGCACCAGATTTTTACCTAAAAAAAAAATAAAAAGCCATCATGTCCCTTTACCAATACACCATGTCCCTTCAGGGGATCCGTAGTCTGTAGATTTACTTTTACAGAAATTTCAGGCACTCGTATATTTTCTCCCTTGCTTCTCTCATTGAGCTCTTTCTGTCCCTCTCTCTCTCTCTCTGACCTTATTAGGGTGATTACATGTGCTTCAGCTTAGTTTCGATTTCCAAGGATGCTGCTTAACATTTTCCATTTTGAAATGTCAGGCACTCACATATTTTCTCCCTTCTCTCATTGTGTGGGCTGTCTCTGTCCCTCTCTCTCTTTTTGACCTTATTAGGATGATTACATGTGCTTCAGCTTAGTTTCGGTTTCCAAGGAGGCTGCTCAACATTCTCCATTTTGAATAAAACTCTATTCATAACCAGAAATGAACAAGATCATCAGTATTTGATGAGTAATGTATAATGAACCCATTTATGTCTAAAAACTAAATTCAGCCTGATAAGGAGAAATGCCTCTTCAGATTGGTCTAAAGTAATTGTGTTCTGTACAGTTATACCTTAGATTAACATCTAACAGTGCTATTTACATTTTTCTGATTATGCCAGTTCCATACATTTATTCACAGTCAAGTATTGATTTTGTCTTTAGAATTCTATGTGTGATAAAAAATAAATAAATAAATAAATAAAATTCACTTTTTTCAGCCATGTGATTTGGCCAGTTTGTAACATTTCTTCACATTTGTGCCCAGAAAAAAATCAGGACCTTAATGGGTTTATTAAACATGTATAATCTGGTAAGTACCCCACCCATTTTTTCTAACTGTTAAAATCAGACCAAAATTCTTTCATGGTGTCACCAGTGAGGGCATATCAAACACATTAAGCAGCCAAATTCAGTCTAAGGGAATTATTATCTGTCTGGAGAGCCAGTGGTAGAATGCACTCACTATTCAACTGGCTAGAAATTTCTGAATTATTCATTATTAACACTAATTATGCTTACAGATGGGTTTAAATTCGTAGAATTGAATATTTTCTTCAACATGATAACTTTCATTATACTTCAAGTTTCTATAGTTTGGTTACATTCCAACCTCTGTAAATTAATGTTGGATATTCATGCAGTTCAGTGCTGTCTGTGTTGGTGGATTTCTATATGTACAATGATATGATTTTATTAGATAAAATTATTTTTATTGTGTTTCAAATAATGAGTTAATAGAATGTAAAACTGACTGTTTGATGTTCAGTGAACTTGAACCTTCAAAAAGTCAGTTTACTTACTGACTTTTAAAGTTGAAACACAAATAATTATTGTTTTAAAGTGTAGCAGAGGTTTCAGTCAGTCAGTCATTTTCTCATATGCACTCTCATTACAAGCCCGCCCAGGAGACGTCCCTGCTGAAGACTGTTGGTGGTTTCCTCTTGCTGTTTCCTGTCTGTACTTTGTTCATTTCGAGTCCAACTCAGTGACTGATTCATGCATTGAACCAAATCTTTTAATGAGAATCAAATTTAACTTGACTTCTGAATTAGTGAATCATTAACATCTGACATTTGATTAACTGAAATGGCAGCAAAGAATCGGCTCAGTAAACTGAGTCGATCCAGTAGGAGTTGATTTGGCACTCAACTTTTTTCAAATTTTGTTTCTAAATCTGCACATGCGTAGACTGTGTATATAAAACACTAAGCCAGTGCGGGTTCTGTCTTTTGGTCGATTGTTGCTCACAGAAACAGCAAGACTGAATTTCTCCATCGGATCCAGTTAATGAAGATGTAATGCTATAACCCACAACCCAATGCTAAGAAACTCTGTAAGTAAAACTGAATTTAAGGTGAAACATTTCAGTGACCACGGTAAAGCCAGTTTAATACAGGAGTTGAGTAATGTTTAAGATTGTCTCTAATATTAAACACATTATTACCTAGAAAAAGGCACAAAGCAAATCACAATCAAATACGCTATAAAATATTCTACATTCTCTTCATCAAGAAAACACTGATCAAAGGGCTTCCGTCATTAATGGGCATCTAAACAGCGCACAGAGTTAACAAGGCTGGTTTTATCCTGAAGCTGAAATATCACTCGTAGTAAAAAGAACAGCGTGTTTTAAGTTTTAAGTTCACTGTAATTTTTGTTTCTCCATAAGTATTAATTTTTTAAGAAGCATTTTGTTCTGACCTTGTGCTGTGTGCCACATCTATTCAGTATTCAGACATAAAATCACTTGTTGTAAAAACGTAGCCTACCCTATGGAAACAATAGTTATTGGTTCATTCAAGTTTCCCTGTTCAGGAAATGTTCTTAGTTGTGAAACAAAAACACACGTTATTATTGTAAATGTATTAAAACACAGACAGCTCTAAGAAGCACAAATATCCAACATTAATTTACAGAGGCTGGAATGTGACCAAACTATAGAAACTTGAAGTATAATTAAAGTTATCGTGTTGAAGAAAATTTTAAATTAAATGATCTGTAAGCATAATTAGTATTAATAATTAAGACATTTCTAACTGGTTTAATTGCGAGGGCGTTCTAACACTGGGTCTCCCGACAGCAAAGAATGTACTCATACTGAACTTGGCTGCTTACTGTGGTTTATATGCCCTCACCGTTGACACCACAAAAAGATTTTGCTCCAATTTTAACAGAAAAAAAGGCAGGGGTACTTACCAGATTATACATATTTAATTTATCCATTCATGTCCTGAATTTTTGTATTTCCTTTTGTCCATGTGTCTGAGCTTGCCTGAAGAAATTTTACAAACTGACGAAACCACGTAGCTAAAAAACTGAGTTTTTATCAATTAATTTACTGTATTCTGTTGGGCAGGTGGGCCTGTTGGTCTTTAACAAAACCATTTCTACTTCACAATCAGTAATTGTGAATAAATGTATGGAAATAACATGTAATCGGAAAAAGTAACTAGGCTATACACTCTTAGATGTTCATACAATGCATAATATAACAATTACTTTAGAACAAAAATAGATCTAAAGTGGCATTTCACTGAATTCACTCATCTAACACTGATGGATGAGATCTTGTTCATGTCTGGTTCAAAATGGAGAATGTTAATCAGCCTCTTTTGAAACTGAAACAAAATTAAAGCACATGTAATCTTCCAAATAAGGTCAAAGAGAGAGAGAGAGAGAGAGAGAGAGAGAGAGAGAGAGAGAGCATGCACAATAAAAGAAGCAAGGGAGAAAATATGTGAGTGCCTGTAATTTCTGTAAAAGGGTAAATCTATAAAAAACTATTAAAAAAAAAATTAAGGTAGCCAGGTAATTTACTCCAAAGTCACATTGAACTTTGGAGTAAATTACCTGGCTACCTTAAAATTTTAATTTTATTGCACTTCAAATAATGAGTTAACAAAACAGAAAACACATGATAATTGTTGTGTTAACTGACTGTTATAATCAATTAACTTGACATTTTTAAAAAGTCTTTCTTAATTTTATAAGTTGAAATAATTATTGTTTTTTATAGTCTACTAGATTTACCCTTTTACAGAAATTACAGGCACTCTCCCTTGCTTCTTTTAATGTGCGTGCTCTCTCTCTCTCTCTCTCTCTCTCTCTCTCTCTCTTTCACATTGAACTTTGGAGTAAATTACCTGGCTACCTTAAAATTTTAAACTTCAAGTTTCTATAGTCGTTGTGAGGAAATTTATTTTAGCAACACTAAATCTTCCAGTAATGCCAGTTCAGTATTTGCCTCTTTTAAATGAGTAAATGAGTCACATTTACATTTAATTTATAGTTTTGTGTTTGTTTCATAGCAGTCTCTAAATAATAAGCCCTGAGATTAAGGATTTCCACTAATACAAATTATGTGACTAATGGTCCCTTAATAACCATTTGCCCCTTTTATATAAAATATTCACATGTACAATATCAAGTCTGAGGAGATTCTAACCTATGCCTTATAGAGCTGCTTTAGATGGAGAAGCCACATAGTACATATCTATTGGTAATCATTTTGTTTAAAAAAGGACAATAATTAATTAGTAAGAATAGTATTTTATGGCTACTGTGGAAAGCGGTTAATGTTACCCTCCCCAGCTTTAATTGCTTAGAACATTTTTGGTATTGGAATTATCTGCATATATTTGTTTATGAGTTGTGGGTCAATTATTACAACTAACTAATACATTTGAAATAATAATAATAATAATAATAATAATAATAAAGAGAGGCACCAATCCAACCAGACAAAAGTTTTGAATGAGATACATGTAATGGTTAAACCTAAAAAAAAAACAATGAATAACAGTAGAAATAGTAATAGTTTACTCAATATATGAAGGAAATTTGATCAGTCAAATTTAGAGGAGTTTTTTATAGCTATTAGAACTCCTGTGACAAGAGATACACACATGAATACAACAACTCAAAGAGAAACTTGAGGTGCTGCAACTAAGATTTGGGCTGTGTCCAAGTTCCTGTCACGTCTGTTCTTTAATACTGATTAGTTCTTCTGTTTTTCCTATATTTGACTGATCTTTGAAATTGCTATTTGATAACTGCATGAGCCCAACATTCCCACAATTTAGTGCATCCCAAGGGATGTTATATTAGAGTCTGAGTGCATGAACCCCTCATTACAAAGACAAATGCACATTTGAGAGTTCAGTGGTGTAAAAATCATAGACACTTATCTGCATAAATGTGTGAAAAAAGTGATATGGTTAGATGCAGCAGTTTAAAGATTTTTTTAGGTGGGGTCTTAATGGGGCCACAGTTCTTTTCAGGAGCCAAATAAAGGCTGTTCTATAAATTCTGCCTATCATTTGTGTTCTGTCTGCTGAAATGCCCATATTGACTCCATAAGGTATGAGGTGCTTGGACCTGGATGATCACCACTAGTGATATAATTTGCAGATGATCGCATTACGACAGAAATTAGCATGTTCTACATTAGTGACAAAGTGACCACTGATTTTATTGATTGCAAGCATCGATTGCAATGGTAATAACATTAAAGAAAGATATTGTATGTGAAAATGAAATCAACTGATTCAGAAATGTCTGTTGCAAAAATGTTCCAAGGTTCAAAGTATTGTTAAGGCACCAAAGTTAAGTGTTGTCCAGCAGCGCTCTTGAAACTCTTTCAATCTACAGTGACATATTGTAATGTCACTGGCATCTGGAGGGCATATTTTCAGAGAATTGCTCTTTCATGAAAACAGGCAGAAATGCCAATTTGTGCTGAAAATACAGCACAACCAAGGGAGAGGTCACCACCAGCCACACACTTCCTCCTAATGGTTAACACACAAACCTCACTATCTATAACACCCTGCAAAAAATAACACAATAAACACACAACTAAAACCAGCAAACAACAACAACAGCAACAAAAAAAACGAAAACAGTCCATGTTGCAGGGGGAATGCCACCCGAACTCTTAGAGGCAATGCGGCCCATGGCAGGTGCCACATAGCGCCCCATAAAGGTCAGCCATCTTGGTGACCCAGTTGCTTGGAAAAAGTCCTTCAAGTCTGCCGGAATATGTCACTTCCACAGTGTTCCTGCAGCAGGGGTCTTAGAATGCCCACTGTTCTGGTTAGCACAAGCTTCCAACTTCTCCTCAGGGCAAAGCCCCTGATGCAATAGTTCCATCTGGCCCCACGTGGTTTCTTGTTCATGTGGCCAGTATGCAGCAACTCTGTCCATACAAACTACAACAGTCCACCACCACACCTGGACCCAATACACCACCTCACCCAGATACTCTTTTCCCACACGGTGTCCTCCCAGGGTGACTGAAGCTTGGGGCAGCATCTCTTTCTGCAGCACTAGTTGTACAGCCACACCTGTGCATCGGATGACAAGAATTGCCCTTGACAGGCCTTGCCTTGGTGGCCCCTGGAGATGATGGTGGAACTCCTTGGCATTCGCTCCGGTCTGCTGTCTTCCTCTGACCCTGGTGGACTCCCAAAGACCAGCTCCATGGGCATCCATGAGCTCACAGCTCAACATAAAGAAACCTAGAGTGAAACTGGTTGACTGCACAGCAGAGCGGCATGTAAGCAGGACCACTGGCAGATGTCAGTCCCAGTCAAGCTGGTTCTGGTCAATGATGATGGCCAGCTGATTAGTGAACATTCAGTTAAAACGCTCCATGAGACCATTATTCTGAGGGTGGAGTGGCGGCTCTGAGTCTTTTGAATGCCCAGCCAGTTGCAAAACTCTCTGACTCGAAGTTGCACTCCTAGTCATTGTGAAGCTCCTCCAGTATACCAAACTGCCTGCATACTACATAGTTAAACAATCAATGGCCTTGAGCTCGGTGGTAGGAAAGAGACACAGAACGTCCATAGCTACTTTTTCCATCAGGGTGGCGGAGTGAAGGGACTGCAACGGAGCATGTGATGGCAGTGACAGTACATTTAGACTGTTACTGTTACATTTGTCAATTCTGGTGTCCATCCTCCCTGGAGCCAGCCATGGATTCAGGAAAGTTCAGCATTATCCTCCTGGCCATGGCTAAACTCCTTGAAGCTTATGCCACCAAGTCTGGTGGTACTAGGAGCAATGTGCACCGCCGTGGTGCTCTTTTCCATGGTTTCTGCTTTTGCTTCTAGGCACACACACAGTACCAGCATTCCTCAGCAGCACATGGGCAGGGCTTCGGCATGTAGGCGGCCGGGGTGCATGAAGCTGAAGTTATCAGCTATTAACAAGTTTTTTTCTCCAGAAACCTTTGAACATGGGATGGAGGACAGTCAATGATAATGAAACAATTATTGTGTTTATATGTCATATCACACACCATTTGTACACCTGTAACTTTCACTTTGA